TTTGTTTTAGGTAATTGTTGCTGTTGGTGGTGAGGATGATAAAGTTGTTTTGAGGTCAGTGGAGTGCTATGACCCTATTACAAGGCACTGGCGAACTCTTGCATGTTTACCATTTGCTGTAAGGTAAGTGAAGTTGAATGCTTTTATTAGTTTCCTTGACACTATAGATTTGTAATGCTTTTCTTACTTTTCAGCAAACATGGTTTAGTGGCCTCAGGAAGTAATAGGTTGTACTTGGCTGGAGGAGAATTTCCTGATGGAAGTGCATCTCATTCAATGTGGAGATATGATCCAGTTCTTAATGTGTGGCATGAAATGGCTCCAATGCTTATTCCACGGTCAGAATTGGGTATGATGTTATCACATCTTGTTTATACTCCTGTTCATTGATTATAGTATTAATAAAGTGTTTGGACATGATTGAGATGTTATATCAGGTGTGGATCATTCAATATTTTGAGTATGTTTGCCCTAGAATTTTTATTATTATTATTATTATTATTATTATTATTATTATTATTATTATTATTATTATACAATTTCTTTATTACATTTTATACATCAATCAACAACTAGGCACTGAATGTGAGACATGAATGAAAGACAAAAATTACTTTTATTTTTTGGGGTGAATTGGTGATAGCATCGTGCATTGTAAAATGTTATAATTAATGGTTATAAGTGGGTGTTCTTGGTTCTGTCTAAAGTTGTTTTTATCAGAACCTGTAAAACTGTGCAGAGTTAATAATTATAATAAATGTTTGAAGTTATGTTTCGATATTCTATTAATTTTCTCATATATTCTTGGCTAAAAAGGAGTGTTGTTATATATATCCAGATTTTAATATGAAGCTTATCATAACAACCGAATTGCAGTAGTTATTCAGCTATTAGCACAAGATAAAAATACATATAGGCAGGCCAAGAAACTCTCTCTGCAGTGGTACCTTGCTGATGAGAGTGCAAGCAACAGAAATTGTGTTGGTAGCATGTGTTGCAGCTTGTAATAAAGAAAACTCACATACTGTACGCATCCCAATTATAACAAAGGCTTGAAGTGTTGTCCCCTTCCCTTGTTTCCCAGTGATCTGGTTGCATTGCTACAAATTGCAACATAAATGCAATTTTTAATAGGTGACCCTGACTCAGCTCGGTATGGAGAGACTCCTGGCACACTGTATTACAGAATATTTAAAATATTTTGTTATTTTATGTGCTGTACCTCTTGCAGGTTTAGCTATGTTGGATGGCTTTGTATATGCAGTGGGTGGTTGGGAAGGCACATATCGGCTAGATAGCGTTGAACGATATGACCCTGAAACCAATTCCTGGGAATTGGTTCCACCCATGAAGATGGCAGTTACTAGCCCTGCTGTTGTTGCACATGATGGCATGCTATATGTTACAGGTAAGAAAAAGTTCTCAATTGTAAATATGTGTACATTTATCCATTTCTTTACAAAAATGAAAACTGTCCAGAAATTATATGTATGAAGTTGGTGCACTAGTTCGTAACATTATTTCATAAGTTTATTAAGCATAAGAGATACATGTAAAGAAATTTATCATTAACAATATATTCTCCTGCAGTATCTAGAACAGTTTGCCAACACTGGAGTAGTTTTTCAATTCCACACCTGTAGTCATGAAATAGGTTTGCTGTGCATTTTCATCTGGTAAAGATGTTCTATGAAGGTTGCTCTGTGGAGTGTGGAAATGGTGAAAATCTGAGGGTGCAAGATCAAGTAAATAAGTTGGGTGTGGAATGACTTGCTAACCCATCTCCTGAATAGTTTCTTTGAGGTGAGCAGAGGAAAGGCAGGCAGGCACTGTTGGGCAGTGGCATCACTTCATGCACCTTTGGTTGCTTTTCTTTGATTGTCATTGTAAGGTGTGTCAGTTTATATTTTGTTTTTTTATTTTATTGTATTGAACAGATAGTTTACGTGGGCACTGGTAAGCTTCATACAGTAGGTTGCATGTAGGAAATTTTAATTTTATGTTTAAATATAATGTATCGACATCATACACACAAAAACTGTAAAGCATACATACAAAAATGCATATTCAAAAGAGAAGGTAATTATAATACTGTGAATATATGTACCGTCAATCTCATTATATCAAACACTGCTATAACAAAAATTACGGTTTTACAAAATAATTTTCAGCACCCTGCCAATTTACATAGGAGTTATATGTAAAATAATCTCACTTTAATGAAATTCAAACTTCCAGTATAATGAATTAAAATATTGAATTTTTGGCTGTGTTTTTGACTTCACTTTTCAAAATAAAATTGATATTCATGCTGTTTTGCAATAGATACTTTCATTGTCATATCGTATATTCAAATGATTCTATCATAGTAATTTTCATTACATAAATGCTGTTAGTTGAGCGGTACAAATCTTCAGTGCAAGAAGTCGTGCTACTTCATTGGCTAGGAGCTCGAAGTTCACCAACAAATAATGGATAAGACAATTTCATATCTCTGTCAAATCATTTGATTTCCATTCACATTGATTAAAAACACCACTTTTGTAAAATTAGATTTTTAAGTCAAAAAATTGTTGAAATTAAAAGTTTGCTGAAAAATTACAACAAAAAAATCCTGCAATTTCTATATGTAATTGCTTCATGTTCCTCTCATTCAATAAATATGAATATTTTTCATTTGTAAGTTCTAATTGCAGTAATCTAAATCCTGTAACACATCATCTGCAAATTTCTCTACAACATAGTTCCCCTCAATTTTGTTATACTGTTTTAGTGTCTCTGAAACCTGAATATTATCAATGATCTTATCCAGGTTTTATTCCGTTGAAACCTGACAATAATCGATCCTTGTTACTAATGTTTTATGTGCTACCTGTTGGATCTCATAGAGGAAGAGATGATAGTGCTGGCACTGTTTCCCAGGGATCTGAAACCTAGAACTATTCAGACAACCCCGTCATCATTTCTGAAGTACTTAGTATCAAGCCCTCATACTCTGCAGAGTTAAGTGGACATTCCATGAATTAACTACAGTATTCTGTCAGAAAGTATTCCCTTGGGTTTTTATTGAATCTTTCTCTATTTAGCTTAAAATAATGGCCACCACATGAGGTTAGTTTAGAGATGAACATGAAAATTGTGTGAGAGTCAGATATATAATAATTATGTGTTTTAACAAGGTCAAAGTTTGCTTAACTTATTTATAAAAAAAATTTCAAATGATGAAGCCAAAATATTCACCAAAATGAATCCAAATTTTGGCTTCACCATTTGAACTATTTTTATCATTAAATTTTCAGTTTTACCTGGTGTAGGAGACAGAACAGTCTCCGAAATGTCGTATGAATACACAGATAAATAAAATGGTTACATGAAGGTTTTTGGAAGTGTTTATTGTGATTGTCCAAAATTTAAAAAAGGTACTGAACAACATTTAAAAGAATTATATTGTGACAACTAATTTAAAACTTAATCTTAACAGAGCAAAAGATGTTTATTAAAATAGTTCAGAATCCACTTTCAGCTCTGAATTTGAAAAATTGGAAAACATTAACATTGCAAAAGTACAATATTGATGATGGAGATTTTTTCTTCGTGAAATATGTACTACATAATTAGATCTGTAAATATGGTCACATATAGTATTTTGAAGAAAAAAAAAAGTTTAAGCATAATTTTTGCTTAAAGAAAAGGCTTTTTTCTTTAAAATCTGAAAACAGCTGCAAATTTTTTCTTTGGAATTGTTTTGTTTAGTTCAGTTTAGTTCATGGTTTATTTTGCTTGGCGAGACTCAGGCCATCAAGCCCGCTCTTCCATCTGACCATGCAAATATTGCTGTGCTCCTTTCACCATTGAGCAAAGAAAGGACCTATCACTCGGGTGACAAGACAGGCTATTTGAATGGAAACTTAGAGACTTCTTGTAAGCTTGAGGATTTTTTACATGCAGTAAATCTCAAACATGGGACAACTGGCTTTACTTCTCTTCCGAAGGAAGGCGTACTAAGGATTTTTTTGCCCTTAAAAATCCACCGCTTCATTAGGGTTAGAACCCGCAAACTTTAGTACAACAGCTCAATACCCCAATCATTGTATCACCGAAGTTGCAAAAACGTTGCAGGTGCAATGTTTCTTGAACTCTGATTTTTCGAAAATAATGTGAGAAAGTTTGTGCTGTTGTAGCTAAACAAATTTAATTGGCACTGAAATTTGTTGTTGTAAGGCATCAACTTCAGTTTTCGTGACAGTGATGTTTTGATTGTTATAGGTGGTGCTATTCTGGAAGATGGAGATGGGATTGAGCTAGTAGAAAGATTTGATCCAAGGACAAACACGTGGACACATTTGGCGCCAATGCTAATTCCTCGAAGTGGTTCTGCAGCCTGTGTTCTTGACGGATATATTTATGTTGTGGGTACGTATTTATGTTATCCAAATATTTTTACTCACGCTTTATTATTAAAAGGTAAGAAAAAATCTTGACAATAGAGATCGTGGCCTCCTTGTTGTTTAAGTGCAGATTCTTGAGTTTAGATCAATTCTTCAATAAATAATTCTTGGATGTTATATATTGTGATTTAATGCTCAGATGCAAATTGAAATATTAAGAAAGTTGGTGAAATGAATATGATAGGAGTGGAGCAGGTTGTAACGAATGTCTGACATAAACAAATTTATTTTACATTTAAAATCAATTTACTTAAAAAATAAACATAAAACTACTACGTACATAGAAGTACACTGCACTGCACTATCTTATTAATTAGACAAAATATATCTCTAAAAAATTTAGAATTAATCTGTATACTTTTGAAATATTGTCATGACTCATGAGTGTTTTATCTGAAAGTCATTGAAGGCTCCAGCAACATGTCATGTAGAGCAGTGGTCATCTGCTTCTTAGTGATTCACGTTTCCAACACACAACCACTGGTCAGGAACAATGATCTTTCAATCATTGATCCTTAAATAATGACTGTATATCACTAAACCCACTATTTCATAATCCTTAATTATTATCCATAACCCTTAGGTATTAATAATCCTTTGCTAAAACACAATAATGGTACAGATAATTTGACTCACTAGCTCATGAAGAACATGCTCGGATGCCATGATATCTGAAGTATTTGTGGTAATGTAGGTTGTTGTTTCCTTTCTCCTTGTTAGCAGTGGGCTGTGGTGCAACCTACCTACATACCCTGCTCATCTGCCTCTGTGTGCTAAATAATCACAAAGTATTAGACTGATGCCAATGTTCCAAACATCTTGTCATGGTGTTCCTCAGAGCTTCTCTGCCCAGTGACCTGCCTTGGCAGACCAGCCCTGAGGAAGACTGTCAACACACAACAAAACTGTCAAAAGTTGGCCTACAACTTCAAGATATCTAACGTTGTTATACACTTGCAAAGTAGAGAATACATTGTAGAGTATTTACAGAAAGTGTCAGTATTCACCTTCGGAATACAGATCCTACAGACAATTCATTCAACTCTATGTATATTCCATGAAGGTATTGCCAAGAGAACACCCAGTGAAGTTTTGTTGCTTTTTATCAGACTACATTCGAGAACATCAAAAATGGAAGGTTTCCAACATGTAATTTGTTCAGTGATGGATGTCTTGGACAAAATAAAAATTGCACATGAGCTTAGGTTTTGCTCAGTAAAGTTGAAAACAAATCTGCAAAACTATCACTCATTATTCAAAGAAGACTTTCATTTTTGCCATGTGACAGGGATCTTGGAACTGTAAGCGGCTCATCAAAAAGTGTGACAGAATATATTCTGTGGAAAAACACTGTGAGCTCATAAAGAAGAGTATGTATCTCGTCATTTCTCTATGAAAATAGTAAATACTACTGGTACACTTGCATTTATGGAGTGATGCCCAAGGATGTAGAAACAGATGGCTCAATGAGATGAGACATCAGGGAGAGCCATTCTGAAGGACAAGAAAGTAAGTTTCCTGAGACATGGGAGTCTAAATCAGGATATGCAGGGAAAAGTTACTGGTTCTGAGTATATTGATGGTCTAGTTAAACATATATTCCCTCTCAAACTTTACATTGAAACTCCAGTCTTCCTCAGAAAAAAAGTATACCCCACAGTGCTCTGATATACACAAAAAAAGTGGAGAATCTTCTAAACTTTGACAACACATACCAGCTGGATTCAAAGAGTTTTAAGAGACACTTCTCAAAAGACCTACACCCCAAAATAGAGAAAAGTAATGAATATGATCAAAAATTTTGTAAAATAGTGGAGACACATAGACTACAAAAGCCATATATTATTTTTGTTTTGAAGAAATATAATAAATCTGGTGTGTTAACATTAGAGAAATCAGTACTGTGATGTTTCTAATATACTTCGATTTTTCTGTAGTGGTTGATGGCATTGGGTTATTGTTACACCTTCTTTGTAAAATGAATCTTTTTAATTAATTCACAAACGTCCTACTCAATGGGGCTCATTGCCTCAGAAATATGCTTACCGCAGAAGATTCATTTTATAAGGCAGGAGATGTAACAATCGCCTAATGTCATCAGCCACTGTAGAAAAATTGAAGTATATTTCCTTGTATTGCAGTATTTAAATTATGTTTAATAAACACTCTCTGATTGTGTATTGTCTCTTTTTTAAAACATTTCTCTGATTCAAGTGCAAACATATGCCTTGTTGGAAAGGTACATGTACAATTTACAAAATACTCAGTAAACCTCCCATATTGATGATAAACTGTTTTTATGGGATTATTATATGATTGTTCTATTTAGCCCTTTATTTTTTAACAGACCTTTATTTTAACTTTTGTAGTGTTTACATAATAACACTATGTATCATTCTGTACTTGGTTTTAATGTGATAGTTTCGAGGAACTATTTGTTCTCATCATCAGGTTATAAAAAATAATATTCACATTGACAATGGATAATGTCAAGTTAAGTACACAAATCTATTACAAAATAGACAAATTAATACATTACATATTAAACTAATAATTACTCAATATAAATATATGAAGCATACCTTTTTATAAGTATAAATTAATCTTAATTTCTGTAATGTTATTCAAATTTCCATTCGCACCACGGTACAAATGTATGGTAGCACACCATATTTGTGGAAATTATATTTGCGCCATGTAGAATACAAGGGCTCTGTATTCCCGGCATGGAGCGTGCAAGGAGTCAGAAGGAAGTGGAGTAGGGGGATACAATTTTTCGACTATGGTGGTGTCATCCTAATGGTGGAAACCACATAGAGTAATCCATTTACCAATGTAAGTTTTAACTGATGGGTGGTTTTGACATACACCAGACAACAAGGAAATACATACATATTATTTGATAGTTACCAAACTGTGAAAGTTTTGCATAATAAATGTTTAACTGGTATAAAAATTATGTAAAATTGAATCCTATACATTGGTAAACACATTAGATTCGACTTGAGTGTTTAAACAGTTGTTGGACTTTATGAACAAAGATTCTAATATTGTTTTGGATATTGTTTTTGTTTTATTCCTAATATGTCTACATTATTAAAATCCATGGTATGGCCTAGTTTTAAACGGTGTATGGATATTGAGTTTTGTCTCTGTGTGACTTCAATAATGTTTCTAAAGAGTTCAGAAATTCTTAATTTAAGTTTTCTCTTGGTTCGTCCAATGTATACTTTGGGACATTGTTGACACCTTATTCTATATATCACATTACAGAAATTATGATTAATTTATTCTTATAAAAAGGTATACTTCATATATTTATATTGAGTAATTATTAGTTTATTATGTAATGTATTAATTTGTCTATTTTGTATTATATTTATGTTCTTAACCTAATATTATCCATTGTCAATGTAAATATAATTTTTTATAGCCTGATGATGAGGACAAATAGTTCCTTGAAACTGTCGCAATAAAACACCTAATACAGAATGATACATAGTGTTATTCTGTAAACACTACATTAGTTAAAATAAAGGTCTGTTAAAAAATAAAGGACCAAATAGAACAATCATGAATGAACAATAAGACAAGTGAATATTAACAAATTATTATATGAGATAAAAGGAAAAGCAATAGATAAAATTTTATTCTCCAACAGTGTGCAGGAAAGTGTTTAGCAAGTTTTTTGAGATTCCTGAAAAATATACTTTTTGTCAGATATACCCTTCCTTTATCTTATAATTCTCACCTCGATATACTTGTTTTAATTCATGACTAAAAAATGCCCATCTTAAAATGCTTTTTTTAGGTGGATGGCATGCTTCAACAGAAAACACTAATAAAGTAGAAAGATATGATATTCAAACTAATACATGGGAATTCAGAGCTTCAATGATAGAAAGGAGATACAGGCCAGGTAATAATGTACATGATTTATTAGTTTAGTTGGTTTTCAAATAGCAAAATTTATAGTGATGTTCATTTGTTATTTTAATATTTGCAGGAATAGCAGTTTTACATGGAAGAATTTTTGTTCTTGGTGGCGAAGAAGGATGGGATAGGTACCATGACACAATTGAATGTTATTTCCCTGAAACAGACTCTTGGCAGACCTTTGGTGACTTGCCTACTTCTAGATCTTGGTTAAGTTGTGTTCCATTACAGGTAAGAACGTTTTTGACTGTACTTTGAAGTACAATATTCTAAACATGGACTTGTTATTTTGGCTCAGGCTGGAAATTCTAAATACATTTTCCTGTTTTTTAATACATTTTCTTATTTTAATTTCATATTTTAAGTGTGTATTAAGATATATGAGAAAGTGCTGGATAGTTAATTGTTTTTGTTACTGCTCTAACAATTTTAATTACTGGTTAATACCAGTCATTGCCATTCTAGTTACTTTCTAAATATTAACCTCTGAAATGTTTACAAGAGTTGAAATGGAAGAAAAAAACAACTTATTCAATAATTTATATCTGTAGACTTCTACAAACACATTAACATCGCTTCAATATAGTAATTATCTACATTTATTGTCCTTCACAATGTTTTTGGAAGATTGCAGACTTCAATACTAGTGCAAGTTCTGGTCATCTATGCATGAAATTAAAAAGTGGAAGTTTATTTCAACTATAATTTCCAATTCAAATACTGGGATGAAGTAACTTGCTCTGAAAGTGAAGTTATATCATGTTCACTTTCACACCTAATTAACTTTATTTTTTCAGGTAAATAAGAATATCCAATGTGATGAATCTTGACGAAAGTCATCAGAAAATGTTTTACTAAACAGAGAACAAAACAATCCATGTCTTCTGAAGTTCTTATGGACTCTTGTATGATAAAATGTGATAAGTCATAAGATAAATGTGCAGAAGGTTGGAGTGTCAGAAAGTAAAAAAATCTTACATCTGTCATTATCGGGCAAGTATTGCAGACTGTCTTGTGTAGCCACATGATATGTTTCAGAATGTTTAAATAAACAGTTCTGATTGAAAATGATGTGTATTGTGTGATGTAATGGTTTACATGTATTTCATCTTACGTTATTTGTTGCCTTTAGCTGCATATATTTAATGTACACTTGTAAGGAAATGTGTTTGTTATGTATGGCCTCATGCTTTAAATTAATTTGAAAAACCATTTTAATTGTCTGCTTGTAATGAATTATTAAATTTTGTAAATATTGCCAATATACTTTACATTGAAAATAGTCGTCTACACCTAGTCGAAAAATGAATTATTTTGTTATGAATCGCAACTTGTATTGTTTGTTTTAATTTTTTCTCCTTGTGAGATATGTTGATGCTGCTTTGATCAGAAGAATTCATCTGATTTCTTCATCAAGGATATGTGTTGCCAAACCCTTGAATGGCATATAACTCAAAATATGTGCATGTGTGCCTGTAATGTGAAGTAACGACATTGTGTGCGCCTCATGTGGTCCTATTACTGCCAATGTCTGTCTTCAACTTCTGCACCACAGAAGTTCACAATGTAATAGTAGTCACTTCAGTGATATGTGTGTTTGTGCAATATAAGTATTGTACTGTGTGGCAGCTACTGTTTTCCTGCCATTTTAAATGTAGTTTTTGTGTGCTGGAAAATCGAAGATCTGAAAATTTCTGAGAAATTAAATAAAGATATTCTAGCTTTGTGTACCCAATACATGAAAGTGGTAATTTGTTTTATTTGTATTTCTTTCTTTCCAATATTCTGCAAATTTGGTTTTGTTATTTCTTTTAATATGTGGGTTATACAGATGGTGCCATTTATCATACAATCCACTCAAAGTAGGCAATTGTCATCGCACATCCATATGGCAGTAGAAAGGGAAGATGTTGCACCATGTCATGCACAATTTGTGTTGATAATACTGCAAGAATGGCTTCGTCAGATGTTGGCCGCTGTAGCTCCTTTTAATCAGGGTATTTTAGCTCCTGCTCTTCGTTTTGATCAACAATTTCAGAGTTTTGTGAATGCACTGTCTCTTCTAAGTACACATTTGTAAAACTTGAGAATCATTTGTCACCAGAAAGTGTAAATCAGCTCTAAGCTAAGACAATGTTTAGGGCACACTTTTGATTCCTTGGATAGAAGATGTGAGTGCTCTATTGATATTAAAGCTGTATATATTATTCATTGTTTCCATGAATTGGATTTTATTAGATATTAGGTCAGACTTCATATTAGGTAATTCACTTGGTGTACATTCAGCATTGTGGATGGGAGCCATAAAAATGTATTGTGAATTATTTCTGTATGTTTTGCTTACAAAACAATATAATATCCAACTATACGGAAGGCCTTTGTTCTTCTAGAAAAGTAAAATAAAATAATTTTCAGTTACATTCTCATAAATTAGTGTCGTTCTCAATGTCTGATCAACAAATATTTGGGAGGTTGTGGAATTTTCATTACTGAGGTGTGCAAATAAAATGGTGATAGCAGTTTGAAAAATGTTAAAAATTGTGTTTTCACCCCTTTTGGGAGTAGACACTGTGTGGTACAGTAGTACTGTAGTATTGCAAACTTTCAGAACTTGATGTTTATACACTCAGTTGCTGTGATCTTTCCATTTGTGCATTCAACCTTGAACTCCTGCACCTATTAGGTTGTGCAACAATTAACAATTTCTCTTAAAATTAACCTCAAAAGTTTTTGCTTACTCTTTATTTACACAGAATAGAAAAAGTAATCTGACAAAAAATGGTGACCTTTTCTATCTGATCAAATCTTGTAACTTGGTCTCTTGACATTGGAAAAATGGACAAATCTTGTTTCTACCTGCAGTGAATTACTAACTCATTCCTCTCCCTCTCCATCTGTGGCCAGGACTCGTGCCTAAACTGTGAACATTTTCTCCAAAATTTACATTCTGTGATCGAATTCATCGAACTGGGTCCTACGAATGTGAAACACATTTTGCTTTGAAGGTCTCTTTGTGTGAAGCCTTATTTTTAAAATTGTCTCAAAAATGGCTCCAAATTGTTTCCTCAGATAGAACAAAGGACACATTAAAAAAGTGCAAGTTGAATTTTTGTTGAATTTTTGAAAATGGCACTTTTCTTTTTGTCTCTTCAACCACAATATTAGAGATAGGACAATTATTTTCTCAGAAACGACTTATATTTTTATTCGCGAATGGAGCAAAATACACTTATAAATGTGGCGCTAGTCCTATTTTCAAGGAACTCTGTTTTTTCAAAAATTTCCAAACTACAATGTTGATTATAATATTTTTTTCTTGATGAAATAGACTATAAAAATAATCTTACGAAAAAAAGTACTTGACCTTATTCAAAGTAGTTTTCACATAATGTTTGCTTAAACGGACAATTTATAAAAACTTTTCAAAAACTGCTCCAAATTCTTTCTTTCAATAAAAGAGACGTAAAAAAATGACGGTCTTATTTACGGTGAACCCGAAAATTAGAAAGTTACAAATTGTGAGAAAGTATGTGCTGTTACTGAACCACTAGAATCTGTTTGAGCAAATTTGCTGTCTAAATGCTTAAAACGAATTAACCAAATAAGTTTCAGGCTTAATACGTTCGACACTACGTGGAATTCTACTGCTGTCTGAAGGAATATTCTGCTATTCGGCCGGTGCTATTATTGGTCATTTTCCGTCATTTCTCGGGTAAATACCAGGCGAACACCGGAACAGGATCTTAACAAACATGTCACGGACCACCGCAAGCTTTCCTTTCTCATCCTTGGCGCCACCAGGCGCCACCTCCTTGTATAGCGATGGCCATGTAATCTGTCTCTTCGTCAAAGAGAAACAGTATGCCACTGTACAGAGAAAGGTAAGAAGAAATATTACTCTTGCTTGATATATATATATATATATATA